CTAGTGAAGTCACGGCGATGTCTGGGTCTTAAGGACTAATGGTGTACAACTATATTTTACTATTACTCGATGAATGAGAACCACTTATAGATTTCTAGGGCGAGGGAGTTCAGTGAACTCATCTAGTATGAGCACCCACTCAAGTATGCCGATGTCACAACACCGAGGACTGATGAGACGCAGTACACATACACTAAGTGCTAGTCTCAAAAGGGAAAGGCCGGTATCCTCATTATTGGCGTAACCCATCAACAATGAACAAGGTTTAACAGTTACATTACATTGCTGAGTTATCTCACGATTCTACTAGACCAACTCACAGTAATAGAGTAACTCGTTAGGACTATATCTATGCTGCTTGCATGGGATAAGAGATATAGAATGCCAAATGAAATGTTTTATTATTACGAAAGAAAAACGATTGTTTTATTACAAGATAAAAGGAAAGACCACAACCACAAGTTGGCTTGTTGGTCACTTACTCCAACAATCTCCCACTTGACCTAAAGCCAACTACTCATAAATCTAAGTCCCATCGACTCTCGATGTTTCTCGTGGACTGATCCTGGCAATGGCTTGGTGAAGGGATCTGCAATATTGTCCTCCGAGGTGACTCTGTCTAGCTTGACTTCACCTCTCTCTATGATCTCTCGGATCACATGGTATTTTCTCAACACGTGCTTCGACTTGTGATGAGCTCTTGGTTCCTTAGCTTGCGCGACGGCTCCGTTGTTATCGCAATACAGCCGTACTGGATCGCTAGCGTTCGGAAATACACCCAACTCTTGGATGAATTTCCTAATCCATGACCCTTCCTTTGAAGCATCTGATGCTGCAATATATTCAGCCTCGGTGGTGGAATCAGCCGTCGTGCCTTGTTTGGAACTCTTCCAACACACGGCGCCCCCGTTGACTTTGAATATATACCCCGAGTTTGACTTCGAGTCATCCACGTCCGATTGAAAACTAGAATCCGTGAAGCCTTCTAATTTCAACTCGGTATCCCCATAGACCAAAAAAAATTCTCGAGTTCTTCGCAAGTACTTGAGAATGTCCTTCACAGCCTTCCAATGGGCTGGGTCGGGGTCGGACTGATATCTGCTTGTGACACTCACAACATACGCAGTATCAGGTCATGTACACAGCATGCCATACATTATGCTTCCTATAGCGGATGCATAAGGTGTCC